ATCTTTAGATTAAAATGTCATAGGGAGGTGGGTTGTGTGTGAGAGAGACACACAGAGAGAGAGAGAGAGACTGTGTTGGACCCAGAGGCGGGACATACTAAAACAAATGACAGTATTTGCTCATAGGGAAACATTGGGGAATACTTCCCTGCAGGGATACATTGGGGAATATTTGCCCATGGGGAAACAAACATTGCAGAATACTTGCCCATAGGTATACACTGCAGAATACCTCCCTGTAGGGATACATTGGAGAATACTTGCCCATAGGGATACTGTGATGTCCAGCCTGGACTGTTTAAATTCCCCCCTGCATTTTCTATCATTTTAGTTAGTCCTTAGTATGTTTGAGCATAGGAATGTTCCATTGTATTAGTTTGTGGGAGGAGCTATAGGAATCCCCTGCATTTTTCTAGTTTTTGGTTTGCCCCTTCCCAGCAAGCTCTGCTTCAGCTTGGGATTTTTAGTTTTTCTTAGGCGGCTTTATCTGTTTGGTGGCAAACAGGCACAGACAGAGGGAAAGGGCATTTCTTACACCATTTAGCTAATTTATTTATCATTTAGCCAATTTACTTACCAGTTAGCCAATTTACTTACCAGAAGCAGTTAATTCTATTAAAGATCAACAACAAAAAAGTCAAGAGCACCAGAAGCTGAAAGACCCTGCACCAGCTTCATTGAGTAGGAGATCAAACCAAGATCAAACCCAGAGAGATGACAACCCTGAACATTGCTGAAACCTAAACTGTAAAGTACCTTTTATTTTAAGCCTGTTAGAGCTGGGGAGAAAAAACCCTTTTCTTTTGTTCTTCAAAATAAATTTCCCCCTTTTGGACTTTACATTCAGCTTTGGAGCCTTTTTGGGTAAAAGAGTTTGATCTCACCAGGGTGAGATTTGCCACCACCTTTAGTTGGGTGTGTCTTCACAGATACATTGGAGAATACTTCCCTATAAGGAAACATTGGGGAATACTTGCCCATAGGGATACATTGGGGAATACTTGCTCATAGGGATACACTGGGGAATACTTGCCTATGGGGAAACAAACATTGCAGAATATTTGCCCATAGGTATACACTGCAGAATACCTCCCTATAGGGATACATTGAGGAATACTTGCCCACAGGGATACATTGGGGAATACTTGCTCATAGGGATACACTAGGGAATACTTCCTTATAGGGATACATTGGGGAATACTTGTCCATAGGGATACATTGGGGAA